GGAAAACAGCTGATTTGCAGATTGGTTCAGCATGTCCAGTGACATGTAAGTGCAAACCACACCAACCACAGCCACCAGGAGGGTTAAGCACTCCCAGAATCACATCTCAAATGCGAATTAGAAAGTATAAAGGCTGAAAACAGTGAACTTCTGTGAAGTTCAGTGCAGCTTTGGATGTCTGTTCACACAGTCCAGAGGGTCTCCAGACCACGCTCATCTTTGCAATCCATGCCATCGAACTGCAATGTGGAACATGCTGCCCATGACACTGCCACCCCCCGTGCTCAGGGGCAGCACAGCCCCAGAACCTCCTTCCTGCCCCTTCTCCTGGCACAGCCTGCCCAGCAGAGATGCCCTCAACCGGCTGCAGTCCTCCATTCCCAGGGGCACAACAGGCAAAAGCACTTCCGTTCACAAGAGCAGTGCTGCATCCAGATGATGTATCGACCCCCCATGTTGATATGTCCCGTTATACCATGTTACAGACCAGGAGACTCCCCAGGACCACCTGGGGCCTCACCTTCACTAGAAACTGTAACTCAATGCTCCCTGAAGGTGGCAATATTACTTGTTGCCAGGCCTTCCTACTGTGTCAGTACCCCCATGGAGCCTGGTACTGTCCCTCAGAGCTGTGCCTCCTGCTCTGAGTTTTGTCATGGCCACCAGAAGAAAAGTTTTCCTCGTTCAGCAGCTGTGGGACGGGGTGAGAACACAAGCAGTGCACTGAGGGCAGCACAGTCTGCACGAGAGCTCAGCTGTGTCTCACTGTGCCCTGAACAGAAGCTACAAAAATGGGATTAAAGCCCCCGTGTTCACAAAGGGTTCAGGCACTGCTGACCTGCAGGCTCACTCCAGACAGCTGCCCTTGGGCTGGCTCTGCCCAAACCAAGCCAGTGTGGGATGGCTGTGAGGTGAGGGCTGCCTCACCCTACAGCAATTCACGGGCTGGCTGAAGGAACACTCTGTGCCACGGCTCTGCACAGCTGAGACACATCAAACAAAGAAGGGAAATCAGAAAATTAACAAGTAGAGCAGCACATATTGAGGCATGCACTCTCTTTTTTAACCTAGACCTTTGTTGATTTTAATAATTGATATAAAGTAACAGATGACTCACTAATTGCACTTCTAAATTGTAACCCAACCTGGAATCAATCACACATGGCATAACTTCTGTTCTTATTTGAAGCTAAATCCACCACGGTGCCTGCTGTAGCTTCTCTAATAATTGCATTAGTCATAACCTGAAAGTATTTCCCATTTCCTTGGTTCCAGTTTTGCTTGCTTTTCAAGCTCATCCTCGTCCCTATCGTTAAAAAAATCTCCAAAATGTTTCCCCATGGAGCCTCCTCTGGGGCCAGAAGAGCCCTGTGTGACATTCCATGGTGTGATTCCTCCTCTCCTAGGGTCTGATTTTCCTCTAGCACCATTTTATCTCCTTTGCTCTAGTCTAACAATCATTCAGGATTGTATCAGATATTAGCAAGCCCTGTGTAAAACTCTTGGTAACAAGTTATGTACACAAGTGACTGCCAGATTTACCCAGGTCAGCTTTTGTTTTGCAGCACTAATTCTCGATCTTTAAGTACCCTCTACACTGGATACTTGATTCTCTCATTCTATGCCCGAGATACACCTTAGAATAAAAGTGAATACATATCTTGTAAGCACTTTTCAGAATAAAACTCTTTCCCCTATCATGCCACAGATTAACCATCTAGAAGCCCTGGGCCAAACAGAAATGAAGGCAGAATGAAATGAAACCAATAACAGCTGGGATCAAATGCACACAATCCAAGGAAAATTCCAACACCTGGGAACGATGCAAAGTCAAGTAAGTTCCACTACAAATTCTCCAATTATTTGTTCATTTTAAGTCCTTGTCAAGCTTATGAGACTAATTTCCCACGCAAAGCCAGCTTTTTCTACAAAGATTTTTAAAAGACATGCTCATACAGTTATTTTTTCCAATTCAAAGTCTGTCCTCAGCTATCTGTGCACAAATCCCATTAACTTCAGCTCATGTCTAAAGGCAGAATTCCAAACCCGTGAAGAACTGGGTCACTGGACAATGGTGAGTCTCAAACAGAGATTTCTGAGTTATCACAAGGAAAAGATCCCTCTTCCCTCGGGCACTACGAGAGCATTCCCACTTGTCTGTAAACAATACCAACCACTTGAAATGTGATCGGCTGCATTTCATCCTTGCTCACTTCGGTTTCGGTTTCCCCGTTCCCACCGCTAACAGCCATTTAGTCCTTAATGTGGTACTAAGGTGCCCCCCCAGGGGCTGCCCTTGTGCAGGCAGTGCCCGCCTCGCTCCAGCTTAAAAAGGTACCTGCCAACAGATTTGGAAAGGGTCCCCCTGCTTCTCGGGGGTTATTTGGTGCCCAGGAAAACTGCTTTCATGTGCTGGTCATTTATACCAGCTCCTGACTTGCCTCTCTGCCTTTTATTTAATATTGGTAATCAAAGTTCTTTATCACATCTATCAAACACAGCACAATCTGGCATGAGGTCTACAAGCAGGAAAATCAGTCCAGGAAAAGAAGTCTGTTTTACAAAATAATTCTACATTTAATGTGTCAGTAACCATCAGTGAAATAATAGTCTTCAGCCACCACTCCTGGTCTCCACACTGACATCTCAGATCTGTTTTATTCCATTATAAACACTCTATAGTGCTTAAATCAGACCATCCTGACCTGATCTAGCCAGTAAGGAGACACGAAGAGACAGGACAAGGCACTGTGCAGTATTCAGAATTTAACTGTGAATCCCCTTTCCACACTCACACCTCTCCAGCCTCTGGGACTCCCCCATTTGTCCAAGGGATGCAGGTAACACTCAAGAATACATGATAATGACTCAACTATCTCTGTGAAAAAATCTGTAGGAAACACACATTATTTTCACCATAGTTATATATTCAAAAAAATAATTCTTTCTATAACAGTATTTTGTACCAAGAAAGAGCACAATTATTGTTAATTATTTGAACTTTCATCAAGGTGTCTCTAATTTCATGGTGCTTTTGGCACAATTCAATCCCTATCTCTTATTGACTATACTTAGAGTTATAAATTCAATTTTCTTCCTTTTTATTCCATGAAGCCTAAAGACAGATGTTAACTTTTTTCCAAACCTCAGATGTTCTTTTCCTTGTTAAATTTATATCCTTGTACTGCAGCGCCAAAGCTCTTTCAATCCCCTGTATTCTAAATTAATCCATCAATCCCCTTTCCTCTGTGTTTTTGCCCTTGGCAAATCATTAGCCCAAGGGAGAACTCAACAGAAGAATTCAAGATTTCACTCAGACCACAGCTGAAAACATCTTTCTTTTACCTCTGCCATAACTTCACTACCTGAGGTGCCATCTCTTGCAGGTTTTCCCTCCTCACTACATTTCCAGCTGTGCTGCACAGCCACTCATGTCACAGCTGCCCCTTCCCATCCCACCATCTCTCTCAGCTGCCTTCCTGGGGGCTATATTTGTGCTGTGTTTCTATTTCCTGTAACTAATTTCAAACAAAAACATTCTCATGTGAAGTCCTTGGACAAGTCCTTGATTTCTATCTATTATCTTCTGTCTCTTTTCAAGGCCCACACTGGTATTTTAAGGTCACACAGGAGATTTTGGCTAAACTCATTCGCTGCTTTGAAATTTCTCAGTTCAAGACATGAAAGCAGTAACTGATATTCCTCATATTTGTTTCTCCTTTCAATCCTCAAACACGATGAGATAAAAGTCTGTTACAAAGGCAGAGTTACTCTGACTGTTCAGAACCAGGGTGACACTTCAGCCACAGCCTTGCAAAGGAGTACACAAAACATAAGTTTAATTGGAACGAGCTGGACCTCATGCTGCATGTAAAGTTATTAATGCACACGTGCTTTTCCTCCCACTCTAATGCTGAAATCACTTTCATTTTTGAATGAAAGTTACTGTTTCACTTCAGCACCACAAATCTCCTGATCCTACAGCCTTTGGCCAAAGTTCCCTCACGGGCTGCTTCAACACAGCACGTTGTGTGCTGATTATTTTGGAACAGAGCTCCCCAGTCAGCAGTCTTTCATCTTCACAGCCTATGCAAAATCAGTTTTGAAAGGTGTAAAAAGTGATACCAAACACGACTGCCACGCACCTGAACGGTGAGAGCTGGGTTTGAAAAGGCACTTAACCTGGGAAACCTGGCAGAAATTCTCAAGTACTCGCTTGAACGCATCGGCCATTTGAGTGTGGAAGCACATGGAATGTTGAAGGGACACGAAGTTCTGTAAAGGCTCTAGGGAATGCACACCCAAAGACGAAATAACACACCAGACTCATCCCTTCCTCCTCATACCTAAAGGTTCTGCCTTGCCAGGGCTTCTCTGGAGCCTGATGGGCACCAGTGCTGGGAGCTCCTCAACTCCACAGCCACGTCCTGGGATTGGGAAGAATTATCCCAGGGAGCTGAAAGCTCTCTCGAACCCACCTGTCTTGATTTCTAGAAGAGAAAGATGGAGATCATTGAACCCCACATCCCTTGTGCAGCCCGACCCGCCCGAGTACACCCCAAAGCTGCCTCGATTTTACCCAGCTCAGACAATGGCTGAGGGTTCCACACGGAGCACAACCGCCCACATGGAAACGCTGTTCCTGGGCTCAGCTCGGGAACTCGCTCCTTCTGTGCTTTGGGTTCGACGGCGGGATGCGAAACCCACCGAGGCCGAGCGCGGTGTGAGGGGCCGCGGCCCTGCCCCCCTCACCCCGGCCCCCTCCCCCGGGCGCTGCCCCCGGCCCAGCCCGGGCCCCCTCAGCCGCCGGGCCCCCCAGCCGCCGGGCCCGGGACAGCCGGCGCTGTGGGCACCCACGGCCGAGCCGGTGCCGCCGCCCGGAGCCGCCCGCAGCCGGCCCTGCCCTCACACACCTGCCCGCCCTCTCCCTGCGCTCCCAGCGCCCGCCACGCTCGCGCTACGCCGTTTGCGCAGCGGGCGCCCTCAGGTGCGGCGGCCGCGCTGACGACACTACGGAGAGTCCGTAACACACACCGACCTCTCCGGGGGCTCTGCGCAAGCGGCGCTCCCAGGTGGGGCCCGCGGAGCGCTCGGGGCCGCGGCGGGGGCGGGAGCGCGGGGGGGAGCGGCGGGCGCGGGGGCCGCGGGCCGGGCCGGGCCGCCCTACGGCAGCGTCGCGGGGCCGGGCGGGCCGCGGGCGGGCGCTGCGCCGTTGGCGCAGTTGGCGCGGCCCGTACGCCGGCGGCGCAGGGCGCGCTCAGGTGCAGGGAAGGGGCGGGCGCCGTTGCCCGGCAGCCGCAGCCTATGGGGGCGCGGGGCGCGGTCACGTGCGCAGCCCCGCTCGGCGCTGCGGAGCCGGAGGAGCCGGACGGGGCCGCGCAGCCGGGACGGGGCCGCGCCGGGGCCGGGGGGCAGCGCCGGGGCCGCCGCCGAGCGGGGTGAGGCGGGCGGACGGCGGGGAGGGGTCGGGGCGGCGGGGCGGCCGTGCCCGGGTACCGCTCCTCCCACTGCACCGGGCACTGCGGGCAGCGGGCAAGGGCAGGACGCGGCGCGGGAGCGGGGGGCGCTGCTGCGCGCGGGGGGGCCGGGGGGGCTGCGCGGGGCCGCGCGCGGGGGCGGCGGAGGGGCGAGGGCTCGGCGGCCCCGGGCGCGGGCGGCCCCTCCGCCGGCGGCGGGCGCGTTACCGGTGCGGGGGGGGTTACCTGTACGGGGCGGGTTACCTGTGCGGGGCGCGTTACCTGTCCAGGGGCGCGCACCTGTGTGCGGGGCGCGCTACCTGTGCCGGGCGCGTTACCCGTGCAGGGGCGCGTTACCTGGGGAGGGGGGGGTTGTCACCTGTGCAGGGGCGCGTTAGCTGGGGGGGGTGTTACCTGTGCCGGGCGCGTTACCTGTGCAGGGGCGCGCGGGCGGCGGCGGGGCCGGGGCGCTGTCCCCGGGCGCTGTCCCCGGGCGGTCCCGCCGGCCCCAGGTGTGGTGGGACGGGGATGCTCCGGCACTCCCGCGGTCGGAGCATCCCTCCCGGGCTCCCGGCGTTGGGGACACCCGGCTGTGTTTTGGTTCATGGTTTGTTTGGGGTTTTTTCCTCGTTCATTCCGCGTTCGCCGTGCACTGGGGTTTGGTAATCATTAACCCGCTATTTTTTTCTGGAAGTGAGAGTGTGAAAGGGATGTCCAGGAAGTGACACGCGGGTTACTGAGCAGAGCAGAACTTGAGTTTTGAGTCAAAGTAGAAACATGCATTATCTGGCTAAATGTCTTATTATTTATTTACATGGCTCTGAAAATGGTGCCATATGATTTACAGAAAGAAGAGAGCGAACATTCCAAACAGCTCCTGCACAGGGCATGGCAGAAGAGAAAATTTGTAACATGGGGGTCCTGGATGTGTCTGAATTATTTTTTTCCTTTATCTGTGTCCTATAGTTCATTAACAGTTTTTAGAAGTTTTATCATACTTTGTCCTGGAAACTCATAAATGCTAAGTGTGGTTAAAGCAGAGACAGACTTAAGTGGGGATTCTTGTCAGGAACAGCAGGTATTTCAGATCTCCAGTTCCAAAAAATGTCTGTGAAACTGTACGTTAATTAAAATAGCTGGGCTATTTAACTTAATTTAAAATAGCTGGGTGTTCTAACAAGCATTTGAAGCCTGGCCTTGTAGGGTAAAGACAGAAAATGAAAATAGTTTCTTCCATTCATGCACAATACTTTCGAACATCCTTAGAAAGAACGGAGAAGGAAGGACTGTTTGCAAACCTTGGTCTGGTTTTCTTTGATTTTTAAAGACATGGTAACCATTTCTGAGACCCAAAGGAAGCAGCACTGGAGGCAGAGAGGAAGGAAGGAAGGAAGGAAGGAGGATGGAGCAGTTCTGTCTGTACTTGGAGGGGAGGCCATAAAAACTTTTGGAATGGGAAGGGAGGAAGGCCTGGTGGTGTCTCTGGAGAGGCTGCATTGCTCTATTCCTGCCCGTGCACAAGGCTGTGTCTCACAAAAGTGTTTTCCAAGAATTTAAACAGCCACCTCTTCAATGGGCCATCAGAAAGGTGGAAAAGCTGGGTGTGTTATTTCCTGCCAGTGCAGAGAGGAAGGAGAAATCCATGTCAGCAGACAGGGGCTGGCTGTAGCTCCTACTAAATTCCTGGTCATTTTTAGGAAGTTGGACTTGCCTCTGGAAGTTCTTGGCATGTAGCATTTTCTTCTGAAACTTTCCAATCGGTTTCCTTTGCTTCACGTTGGTGTAGAATGAAGGGAGAGCTGTGGAGAAGAGGGGATAAGGATTGCTAACAGTGAGGGTTTGATGCTTTCAGTTCGCTGTTTCTCAGAATCCCATCACGGATGGTGCCAGTCTGGTGCTGCTTTGGCATTTCTAGTTCAAACAGAATCCTTAGGCTTGCTGATTTTGTTAGTCCTGATTTTATAAAGGAGTTTTATTTGCTTGGGCTGTTCATCCAGCCTAGTTGTTATTGCTGAACTATTGGCAATATTGACATCTCTGCACTAAGGTGATGCTGATGAAGTGCCAGTTCTTGCTCCATGTGGTTGACAGGCTAAATACGGGGTGGAAATCTAGGACTTAATGCCTTGGGGAAGTGGAGAAAGATTCCATCTAGAAATACTTGTGTTGGGGGCTGGAGGAGCCCCAGGGGTAACTCTTAGGAATGGTGCAGAAGAAGTGACCAAATCCAGCCCTGTGGTTTGTCCTGACAGAATTTCAGACGTGACTGATTCCACACCAGAGGTTCAGAAGCAAGAGAACGAAGTAAGCAAATGGAAAGGTACAACAGCAGATGGCATAAGGCTGTGCCAGGCCTAAACATGAGAGAAACAGTTTAAACTCCAGTGGATATGGGGATTTTGGTGACCCTTGTTTCTGACCTGTAAGCAGCTTTTCCATGGATGTTCATTCAGTACATGATGCTTGAGGTCACAGAGCTCTCTTTTGAAGGCCCTCAAAGGCCTGTGGGTGGACTGAGATTTTTTGGGGGGTTTGAACTGTGAAATCTTGTTTGGAAATAAAAAAAAAAATTTAAAAAAACTAGTCAAAGGAGCTGCTTCATGTTGTGAAAAACCTCACTGTAGAATCATAAAAGCTGCAGTTTTTCCACGTTGCTTTGGAAGCAGCTGAACTTTGTAACTTGGCATGTAAATAGAGCTCTTTGAAGCTCCATGGCTGGAAAGAGGGGAGAGGGAAAGGCTCTGGCTGGATAACAAGCTTCTGAGTGTGTAAAAAGCCCCGGTGAGCATGTTTGAGTATTAATACAGAGAACAGGAGTTTGTCCTGGGTTGGGGTGATGCACAGACACCTACAAGGGGCCAAGGTGTGTAAGTGTGAATATGGGAACAGTAGAACTGTGGCAGTTGGTGTATTTTATAGAGTGGGCTGGGTGAGGGGAAGCACGGGGGGCAGGTGAGGGAGAGGTACCTGGGAGGTTTTGGTGGCTGAGGGTCAGTCAGCACCTCCCTGGGCTCCCTTCCAGCTCCTGGGGAGCCTGGATTTACAGTGTCTCTCCCCATGCCAACAGCAGAGCTCAGCATGGCATTTTGGGGTCTGTACCTCATTTTATGGGGTTGGGGGAGGGAGGACTGAGCTAACAACACCCACATGAGGAGCACTTGGCTGCTGTAGTGTCCTGGATTTGCTGTAACCCAGCAGTGTTGGCAAGTGAAGACTGCACTGCTGCTGAGTGTGCTGCAGGGATGAAACCAAAAGGAAAATTCCCGTTTAAAGCAACAGGAAAAACTGATACAGATTGAAAGAGCAGAAAAATTTAAGTCTCGAACCTTTCTGTGGAAAGCAGAGTTTGAGTACGTTTGTTGCACTTGCAGCGTGATTTGATAAACAGAAACTTTGTACTTGATGTTTAAGGAAGCAGAAGCCTGAGCTGCCCTACCTGATATTTGCTGATAATCTTTTGTTAAAAGCAATAATTGATACAAGCTACAAGGCCAGAGACAATATTTTTTCAGTTGTACTTCTGCCCTTCTTGGCACTTGTGTAGTTTTTCCTTCTTATGTGCAAGTTTTTCACGGAGCACTGATGACAGAGAACAGTCCCAGTTCGTGTCTGTTCCAGCTCACAGAGGGACAGTGTTCCCACTGAACTTCTCTGAAAACCTCAATTCATGTCCCTTAACAAAAAACCTGCACAGGAATCCTTATGAATTATAGGAGTGAGTAAACATGTTGCTCTTTGGATTTTTGGGCTTTATTCCGTAGCTAAATTACCTTCTGTTCCCGGTGGTCTCCCTGTAAACCACCATGGAATGGGAGAGGACAGAGAATCCTCGGGCTGTGTTGGGCTGTTGCCTTGCTCACAGTTCTCCTTTGCAAAGCCCATCCTGACATTTCCCGGGCAGAGCTGGACTGTGGCCGAGGTGCTGTGGGGGAGAACAAACCCGGGGTATGTCATTTGTTCTGCTCTTGGGGAAGGGATGTAAAGCACAGTCCTTTTCTGTCCCTCTGCTGAACCCAAGATCTCTGGGACTAATCCAAGGGGGGATTTTCTGGGCCACCTGCACATTTGCCCATTGGCTTCTCTAGGGAAGGCCAGGGATTAATTCATGTCCTTGTTTTACACTGTTGGTTTTTCTAGAACTATGCACAACTTCGTAGCTCTTGGAGTAAAATACTGTCGTAACGTGCTGGCAAATTAAAGGTGTAAATGGATGTTGAAGAGGAATAATCTGATGAAATCCATTTTAGGGGATCTCTTGGATTGTGGAAACTGAAGTGATCCTGCCACATGGGTTGATTTACATTAGTTCCCTTATGTTGTGGTTTGGCATGGTGTTTAAGAGCCTTAAGATGCTGCTGGTGATTGACATAACAAAATGTAAATTATATGCTGTTTTCCTAAGGTCTAATTTATCTGTCGTAAGGTTTGTGTACCAATAGTACTGAGCTCTTCTCACAGTAATGTTTCTCTTTCATGTAATGCCTACGTAGGGGAATTAAATTACTCTTAATTGTATGCTGAAAAAGAAAATAAACTTGGGGTATGTATGGCTATCCCAGTAAATTAAATTTTGCTGCTTCTTGTTCTTTTTGTGCATTTACTTTGACTGTATTGAA